AACCATCTTGGTCAGCCCACAACTCACTGCATAATCCCATTAGCGTGCTAATGCAAAAGGAAGGCGATAAGGCGCCAAAAGGGGCACAGGGGTAAATTCAATGACTTTGAGGAGGATTATGTATGTACAGCACCTTCCCTCTATCATAAATTAAATGCTCACACTTTTAATTTAATTTAATGGCCTTCTCTGCAGTTATGTTAACAGGCGACCAAATTGTCACTAGAAGCCATTAAGTCATGCATTTCGATAAGAAACACTTTTGGATCCGTGGAGGGCTGATTTACTGACCTCTCAAGCCTTTTATCTGTCATTTTTTAATACATGAACTGCCTAGTTGCCTTCACCTCGACCTTCTCCTCCTAGCTCCTGCAGGTGCAAATGGTTGCTTCACCAATCATGGCAAACTTTAGAGAAAGTTTTTCACGTTATTCTCCAATGTCAACTGGTAAATCTGCTTTACCATCAAGACTGGGTGGCAATCCTGAAAGTGGCACATCTTTTGCCTTCAAATATAGATAAAACCCATTTTTGGGTCCGCCTTCTCTAGATGTTGGACGAAGTTTACGATAAACTTCTGCAGCTTTTCAATTGATTTGATTTCGGTTCATCATATCAGCGAACTCGAATTGGACCTTTCAGGTTTAACCGGAATTTTATAGTAAGGCTTATTTTGACAGCACAGTTAATTGTAGGGGTTTAGGCTTGAGGATATTTATCAATGCTTTTTTATGCTTCCATTTTACTAATCCAATGCATTACCATGGCGACTAAAAGTCACAGATAAACAGTGAAGCTCTCTATCCCTTAAATACCGTGAACTTTTCGGGCATCTGATAGTGTAAATGCTCTCCATTCTTATATGGAGTTCTATTTCCTGGCTTGGTCTTACCATGGAAACATCTAATGAAGCAAGGTCGACAAAAAGACGTTCTGAAATTGCTGAGCTTTTGCTTTCTTTAAGAAGATCATTTAAGATCAGTGGGCAGTGCCAGAGGCGTCAAGTTTGTCCAGCGGTTTTGGGGCGCCATCTAGAAAAATACGGCATCTCAACAAATCCTTCAATATCTAGTTAAAACAATAATTTTAAAGAAGGTGCCGTGCACAAATCCTTGTCACGATGCGATCTAAGATTCGATAGTCGAGCATAATCATGCTAGAATATGCGGACCTTTAGCTCCTTTTATTTCAAACACTTGGGATGTCAGTGAGTGGATTTTTAATGAACACAGCCTTAAATCTAAGACCCAGTCGATGAATAATGTTTACTAGCAAGACACAAGCGAATGCTGTAGAAGCCGTATTGATGCAGCAATTGAGGCTGTGATTTTACCGAGTTTTATTGCGATGTCTTTGTGGGTTAGAGGAGGAGATGACCGCAACCCCAGAAATGCGTTTTTGTTCAACTTTCAAAAAGACTCAAGTGATAGCTAATCGTCGAACCTTCCGGACAGTTGCACTCTTGCTCAGTCCTGCCTGAGTGGTCACATCCAGCAGGGATGCCCTCTAACTGTACTGCTAGCTCCTCCGCAGACACAGACTCAGCCTGCTCCACTCTCCAACTGCTTTCGCATAGCCATCAGACACGCGCTGAACGGTGCACGCGCATTATGTTGGCCAGGAAAGAAATTCTGATTGGAAGCCTCAGCAGGATCCAGACAATTCCAAGTCATTCGATCGTCAACCCCATTTGTAATAGTTATCAGTGCATTTTATAACCGGTGGCGACCCAGTTTATAAGACTGAAATTTGTGCTATATTACGAGGAAAGTAAAATCTTTTTATCTAAGTACTAATAATATTTTCATTACATCTATATTTTGTTAATCAACAGTCGGGGCATAAATCCGGAGCTCCGTCTGGATAGTACCACAGAAAGAAGTAAAGTACTGAGCTTCATGCACTGGGCTTGTGTCCTATTGTTGTCGCGAGGACAAGAAGATACGCCAAATAGGGCTGGAAGAGGAAATCCGGATTGCAACAACATCGGCGGAGGCGTGTTTAGCGGAGCGGTGCGCGAGGCATGCGAATGAATCACTCACCCGGTAGCCTCTTCGGGCGAGGGATGCTTTCGACGCGCGAATCTCAGCGCTCCGGTTTATGGACCGATGGTCGAGGGCGATAAGCCGTGGGACTGTTTCGCCCGAAGTCACATCAGCTTAGACTTTTGGCCTTATATGGCCAATGCGAATAACAACTGTTCTTAGAGGAATTTAATTGAACGTCGTATTTCCAGTTAAAAGTCGATAGCAAAGTCAAGGCTTCAAATACTTCCAATCGAGAACAAGTAACAACTTAAGGTTATTTTGTTGAATTACACTTGCTTTTGCATAAGGTTCATATAAGGAGTTAAACATGTCACTGATGTGAGAAAAACTTCATTTGAGTGTTTTAAACTCGTCTTTATGTTTGATTTATTACAGGTTGTGCGAGATATTACAAACAGGTTTTTATGTTGGAATTTACGGAATTATATCACCACAAAGCCATTAAACTACCCTTCCAATTAATAATTCCTTTAATACCTATTTTCTCCACTCAACGCAAATTATTTAATTTTACTATTATGATACTATTTCAAACTCGCAAAACTCCCTTGGAAATATTTTTGAACTATGCCATGGTCTGCGATCACTAACTCAGGGCAGCGATTAGGAAACAGAAACCACGGCCGTGAAAAGCAAAGTCACGAAATGTAGTAAGGACAAGCTATTCAGAAACTTCCCTAATATTCAATTATATTACCAGCCAAAGCCTCAGTGACAACGAAGGTCCCATAAAGTAACCAAACTTTACTAGAGAGAAAATCGTAGCAGACGCCAGTAGTGAAACCCGGAAGGAACAGGCGGACGCAACCATTGAGGTGACCGATGCTCCTCGCCAAATAGAAGTCAATCTATTCTCTATAAGACCTTCCAAGTTTACGGCTAACTTAGCTAACTAGTTGCATATTGTAAGCAGCACTTCACCTAACATCGGTCCTTAGACCATCGAACAAGCCTTAAGGCGGCAGAATATAGAACCCACAGGACGCAGAACAAACATTGACTTCGAAACCAAATAAGTCATCCCACATATCTAAGAACTACAGGACGTGAGCGCCACTTACACACCACCGCCGGCAAATGTCGTACGACCGCAAAGGTCAACCAGTCGAAGTCGAGAACTCAAACCGAAACAGGCCCTCCGACCTCCTTGCTACCACTAGACGAGCCCAATCAGGGCAACCATCAACCCTCGCATTAATACCCCATCCGACGGGTATCGAAATGCTGAAAGCGTTGCAAACTGTATCTACATCGGCTAGGATACTTGGTATAAACACAAAGACAACTGCCAGACATCCTATGAGTGGCTTCCAGGCCTAGCTAACCCCTTGGTTTGCCATCAAGCAGCTAAAATGTGTGCAAAAAGGAGTACCCACCTACCGGAGTAAATGAAGAACGATGCCCAACCCGCCCACTCATATTTCTGTGAAGTGATAAGAGTCGACACCGCGGAGAAACGGTAGAAGCGTATACCAACCCGGGTCCTCACAATAAGGGGTCATGACAAAGAAGCAAGTCAGTCCAGGACTGAACAAAACGACGGCAAGAGCCGCGACAAAACGAACCTACACAGCTGACCACACCTCAATGATATAAGGACGACACAGAAAACCAGCCAGCCTGAAACATTAGCAAAGTTAAGCTATCGACCAAGCTAACCCATTGAGAAAAGAAGAGGATTCAGCCATACATAACCGCGGTATATTTACAATGTTTACCTGGTGTATTAACGAGCTGCCACAGGGATCTTATGCTTCTCAACAAAGAACTTCCATCCCCGGCTTTCTTCTCCAATGTCCTTCACTACGATACAGGAGGCGGACACAATTTTACGAGGACATCCTTTACGATCCAACTTACAAAGACCGGCCATTTCACCAAGCTGCTTGCCATCAGGTACCTAGCAGAGCTATAACATACCGTAATTACTACCTTAATCAGCGGAATTTCGTGCACGCGGCAGAGAGCCTCGATGATATCCGTGTAGTTAACCTCGTCACAGCTCTCGGCCAAGAAACAAACTATTGCCTTACGTTGCTCAATAGCTTTAGCACATTCGTGAAGACCACGGACAAGGCCATTGGAGGCAATAGCATTCTTCAGAACTTCCCTCAAGGCCGTATCAAAATCCATCTCCACAACATCCATCTTCCCAATGAGTGAGAGCAAGAAACGCAACGACGCTCGTATCCAGAGTGCGCCAAAGCTGCCGCCAACGCCTTCAAACAAAATTTTTGAGAACACATTTAACACATCAGTACTTTTAATTGAGAATGCTTCCAAAACTATACAATAATCTAATTTTAATTGACTTAGTGCGATAAGTACATGAGTCTCAATGTCCAAAACAAGCAAAGGGTTCTGCTGAAATTACTGATGCACACCCTCAATATTTAGCTCCCAAATTATTCCATCTATTCAAACCCCGTTTCACTGCATTCACACTTAAAATGGAAGCAAGTAGAGATTCACCTGTAATGCTTGTTTGTTGAATTGGAATGTGTGTGCTCCAAATGTGCTAAAAGCCACGGAATGTGCAATAACCGTGTTTGAAAACTTTCACTGTTTCCGAAGTTCATGAAATGATTTTACCACTTTTAGCAAAATCAGGCTCGAAGAAATGACCGGACGATGCATGCCAATGTAAGTCGATATGCTAAAGTCCACTTTTCAATCCTTTTATAGTTACGAGAACATAAAATTTTCCAAGAGCAAATGCACTTTTAGCCTCATTATTTAAATGCCATTATTTTACCTGGTTTTTTCGAATAAACTCATGCTGCTTTTTTATTATAGTGTCAAATTATGGACAATTTAACATGAAATAACCAACTTGTACGCTGATTCCCATAATTGGACTAATCACTATTGTAGCGTCCCGAGACTCCCTGAAGACGAAAGAAGACACAATACTCGTGCAGAATATATGTATTTAGCACGGAGAAGGTGTCTGGGCTATTGGCATGGCCCAAAAGGCCAGCCCACCCAGCGAGGTACAAGGGGGCTAATTCAAAGTACAAAAAAGTGGCGCCTTACCAGAACCGAGGGATAAACCACTATCGTATTACACTATTGTAATGATTATGTTGTTTTAATGTGCCCTTCAGGGAGGAGGCAATCAGGAAATTCGAACCTCGTAACCGGATCGTCCTCTCCCTTACCTAGTGACTGCGGCTCCCCTCCTTCTTGAATATTGTATTTGCCCTATCCATCTTGTCACCTTTAATAAAGATGTCCAAAGCAAATCAATCGGGCTTGTCTAGGAACGCTAGGAATTGGGAAGCGGAGACCGAGGAGCCTCGCTCCACACTGGTGGCAGCGCCCGCTGGCCTACCCCCTTTCGAGGAAGATATGAATTTCGAAGAGTGGCTCCTAACTGCCACATTCAACCTTCCTCTCTATCCCCGTTGTCATAGAATACCTCTTATCCTTCGCGCCCTCCTGCATGATTTATTCGTAGCCGCAGTCGGAGCTGGCATCACCCGCGACACGGACGTTGACCAATGCTGCGATACATTGCCTCAACTAGTCATCGATCGTGAGGAGGGAACCCTGGCTAGGGACTTCTTTCAGCGTTTTCAAAAAGCTGATGAGGCCGACGAAGAGTACGCCAGGAACCTTT